AAATATTATCAGAATTGCTTCGAAAACGATGTATAATATGTACATATACATATATGTAGTTATCAGCTTTAGAGATAGAGTCACGAAGCGTTGAGCATGCAGTAAAGATCTTGATATATGTTTGTGTGTATCTTATAATAGTTAGAAATAATTTAGAAAAATTCCCCTCTTTGAGTGAGTGTAAAAGTTAACATACATATGTATATAGCTTCAGTGCCGAACACAGCCTAGCTTTATTTTATTGCTGGAGTAAAGAAAATATATAAATATATATGTATATTCATAGAAATTATCCCAAAGAATCGAAATACCGTCTACTAGTATTTCAATGGAAGCTAGAATTTTATTATATGATTCGAGCAAAAGGGAAACTTGAGATCGAATTTCAGCTGCAGAAATAAGTTTCATGTTATGAAATAAGAATCTATGGAAGCCATTCGTATTGGTAAAAGTCCAAGAAATATTTGTAAGCAAACCCAGAATGCATATAAAAAGTCACAAAGTCCAATTGTGTCAGCTTTTATTGGTCGATTTTGATAACTCATTTTGGTAATGAGTTGGAACTAAAACAGTTCTCGAAGTGACAAATTCTTATAGAAAGAGATATATAGAGAATGAGCGAGAGAGAGGAGAAGGGGAGAAAAAGAGTGAGGTAAAGAAAGAAAAGTAGAGATTAAACGAAATAAAACGACAGGCAAATATACAGCAGAAGACAAACGCAGAGAGAAAGAAAGAGTAAGAAAGAGAGAGAGAGAGAGAGAGAGAAGGAGGGAAACAGAGAGACGAGGAGAAAGACAGAGAGAGAGAGAGGGAGAGAAGAAAAGAAAAGATAGAAAGAGAGAAAAAGGGATGTAGAAACAACATATGTGTGCTAGAGAAAGAGAGGCAGGATAGGCAGAAAGAGAGAGAAATAGAGATTGAGATCGAGATAGAGAAAGAGGGAGAGTAACGCAGAGAAAGACGCAGAAAGACAGAGAGAGAGAGAGCGAAGAAAGGGGGAGAAAGAGGGAGAGAGAGAGAGGGACAGACAATCAAAAACAGAAATAGCAAGAAAGTGAGAGAATGAGATCAAATAAGAGCTATATGAAAATAAAGACATATATAGATAGGGAGAAAGATAGAGTGATACAGAGAGAGAGAGAGAGAGAGAGAGAGAGAGAGAGGGAGAGAGAGAGAGAGAGAGAGAGAAAGAGAGAAAGCGACATAAAGATCGTGCTGAAAAAACAACTATAGAATAATCGAAAGAGAGAGACAGTGAGAGAGGGAGAGAGAGAGAGAGAGATAGGGAGAGGGAGAGAGAGAGAGAGAGAGAGAGAGAAAGGCATAGAAAGATGC